TGCATTTTTTGTATGAGTGGACTTGTCTCTCCACAGAGCTGACCTGTAACATGCACTAGTTTCTCTAGTTTCTGTCCACAAAGATAGATTAAGTTAAATGCCATATTGTGTATTATTATTATTATTATTATTATAGACAAGGCAATTATATGTCCATGGAGAAAATCAAGAGGCTGAACCTCCACCAGAATACAATACAATAGATTATAATTATTGATTTTTACTTGACATCAACAACATTAAAGATGCACTTTGCCTCACTTAAATACTATAACATATATAAAAATATTTTACTTGGCATTAACTATTTGCTTCGTCAGTGGAATGTTCTCAGTGCTCTCTGAGGCTGAGGCAGACCAATTTCACATTCAGGCCAGAGAAAAACAGTGTTAACAAGCCACCAGCTGACGTTTTCAGAATGCCCCATATCCCTGCGCTCTTGTCAAAGGACTTAACAGTCCCACAAAATGGTGTTGGGGTGTGGAGAGTATGCTGTGCTTTATTGGAGGAAGTGGCCCTTACACAGCAAGAGGAATATTCAATTTTTCTTAACAGTTTTAGATTAAAAAATCATTGTGAAAAGGTGATAAGGCCACAATAAAAATAACAGACACAGGGTTGTCTCTCTGTAGCTGTAACTTGGCCTGGTGGCACCACCTGCTTGAATAATTCCATAATGTGGAACATTTCAAGAAAAGCAATCAGATTGCCATGGAGATAAGCAGGTGGCAGTCCCTCCACCAGAAAAGTTAAACAGTGCCTCTTTAAGTGTTGTGTTTTACAGCTGTGGTGGTCCCTACATTATGAGGAATGTTTTGCTGGTGAGAAATTGCAGAAGTGTGTGTTGAGCTCAGAGTAAAGCCGGGGTCACTGGGGGGTCGGCTGGTTGTCTCCTCCAGAATGAATCTGCATCTGAAACTTCAAGGTCAAGACTCATGTTTTTCACTGTATCCGTGTCCCTGAGTGCAGCACACAGATTCTTTTGTTGTATTTCACCTGGCATGCCCTAAAAAAGGAATGGTGAGAACCAAGACTCACCTGTATATGCACTGTCCCTTCAAAACAAGATTGACATATAGGGGAACAATTTGAGTGTAATTTTTCAGTGACCTGCTTGTTTCCATTGAGATGTTATTGCTTTACCTGGAATGTTCCACAGTATGTTTTCAAAGTTTACACACTTTAATATCATTATCTTTATATTTCAACAATCCATACATAGGCACATTTTTGATATTGTAATGAATTTTTATCAGCAATATTCATGGATAATTATAGTTACTGAGTATGGCATCTTTACAAAGCCTCTCAAAGAGTAAATGAAAATTTGTACTGTATATAAAGCAGAATTTATTTGCAGGAGCTTGAGTTTCCAATGAGGCGTAGCGGCCTTTGTTCACTGCAGTTTGAAGGAGTTCTGACCAAATAGATGAAATACACATGTCCACAAATGGAAATGACAGATCCAGAGTGAGCTGTGGAGGACACATAAAGAGCGGAAACAAGATGTAACGGGCCGAAGGAGCAGGTAATAATTTCAGATGGACCTCAGGGGAAAAGCCTCAAACTCTTCCACAGACCAGATTCCTCACATGTCCACGCCCCTCCCCTCCTCCCCCATGCACTGTCCCGCGCTGCTCTGACCCCCGGCCCCCTGGTGGTCCCCCGGTGCTCTCCGCAGGGGGCCGGATGATGTCAGATTCACTATTTCACCAGCAGGAGTGGGCGATGACATGCACAATTTGGCTTGTGAGTGGTGCGCTGCCTTGGACATGGTGTGACGATTACACACTCCGATGCAGGTCTGACATGCCAGGCTGTGTAGGGGAGAGCTTACATAGCCTTCATATAGACTTTAGCTCTATCCTCCTCTCCTCATAAAAGAGTCCAATGTGCATCATTGTGAACGTGTCCATTTGTGGGGCTCACTTCCTCCCTCAGACCTCCCACACATGAGGAGGAAGACTTCTGCTGAGTTTTAGAGACTGCACTTTATCACTCTGAACCAGCGTCAAAAGGCAGGAAAGGAAAACCAGGCAAAATAATTTTTCTGACATACTTATCCCACATTTACAGCCAGTTTGGGTTTCATAGTCCCAGCAAAGTGAAAACTCAAACAGGTTTACAATCACTTAGAAGAATCAGGAGCAGGGGAGCAGTAAGGGGTTTACCTTCCGCTTTTCTCAATGCCAAGGAATCCCCAGGAAACACACTTGAGATGACTGATTCGATATCCGATACAGAAGATGAGAGAGGGAGAGCAAAGGGGTCTTCCTGTATGTGAACAACTCCACACAGGAGCTGCTCCAGAGAGGGCCTTTAAGGACGCAATGTGGATGATCTCAATCTTTTTTGTATTCTTTACATAATAAAATATGAGTAGTTGCACACTTGGTGTATATTCAAATTTTTCAGCCAAATACAGTAAGTAAAAAAAAAACAGGTTTGTGAAGTGTCTTGCACATGAACACAACAATAGCACTGGTCAAACTTCACTGTTATAGGATCTACCATTTGGTTGATTCTCATGTGTTTGAATATGTCAAAGCACAAGTCTATCTGGCTTACATCTCATGTTATCTGAGCATCCATTCACCCAACTAATATGAGAGATCAGTCTAATCTTATTTATGACAGCGGTAAAGAGCATACTTAAACAGGATAGTAAATAGTAAGCCTACATTTTATTTTGTTGTGGGTATTTTTGAGATATACTTGAGACAAACTTTGTACTTTTGTAAATGTACTTGAATTCTAGTAGCCACATGCAGTCCAGGTTTATTTTGAGCTATCTCATACCATCTCACTCTCTGCCCTCTACTACTGATATGAGTGGTATCATTCGCTTGGGGAGACTGTCCTTGTGTGAATTCTCTGCTCTCTTGTGGAGGTGTCACATCCACAGCAAACACAACAGTCCCATATTAGTGAATTATCCAGCCCTCAGGAATTAGGCCCCATAGTTCATTCCGAGGAATCCGGCTCTGACAGGCCTCTCCCCATGGACGAATAAACATGGAGTCCTCACTCAGCACTGCTCTCCACACTCTCGGCTGCATCCACTGCCTCTGCTCTGCCCTGGGTCAGGCTGCACTGAGCTGTCTGTCACGACCAATACAACTATGAACAATTATAGGAAGTATATGTTAACTATATCATTGCTAAATATTTACTGCAGTTTGTTTCCTATTGTTACAAGATACAAGACTGCCAGTCACGTATATATGGTCCATACCGCTCTATTTTGTTTTTATAATTGCATTTGGGGATTTATGTCATTTTTAACTTTGAGTGTAGAAAAAAATATATAATGTGGAAACAGACTGGTTACATATTTGCCAAGTATTGTCAGGTGTATTGAGAAATGTTCCAGTTGGATGGAAGTAAATGTAAATATACTAAATAGAAAATGCACTGAAACTGTCAGTGCTGTAACCTTATTGCTTAAGATCAAGGTCTGATATAAGTGTAGCTGCGACAACATAGCACTACTCATTTAATTGAATCCCATTTAAAGATATGGACCAGGTCTCATGTGTCTTTTCGTGGCGTTTTACATAATATCTTCGGCATCTTAACAAATCACCGCCAAAACAGGGAGGACTTCTTGAGACTCAAAACATTTGGACAGAAAATGAGTGTACAGAGACAGCGTGTCCGGTTGTCCATCTTGTGTTTGCACAGCAGGAGCTCTGTGCTGCTGATGTGAAATATGGCCCTGCCCATGCCTGCTCTATAGGAGGCAGTTTCATCTGTCTCTGCAGGGAAGCGCAGATTTATGAGGCTGAAACTGAACGCCTGTATATACACTTTCGCCCACTCACTCCCATCTACACCCAAACCAAAGATGTACACAGATATTCTTTTTGTAAACGTATGTAATTACTTCTTATTTTAACAATCTACAAATATGCCCCTAAAAATAGAAAAACAAAAAAAAAACTACCTAAAGAAACAAAATCTTGAAGTGCTGTAATATGTTTAGCAATGCTCCTGATGACTCAAGACGGCTCACAGTTAGCATCGCTCTGATGTATAGTGACATGATGCAGGTGCTCCAACAGCTTCTCATTTTATTATTTTTCTTTTTTCTTTTTTATACTTTAATGATAGCTGTTTGTTAACTCTCCATATAGTTTATCTTTTACTTGTTTCTCCCGTTACATATAATTATTTTATATTCTTAACATTGTCAAAATATTCCAAAATAATCATTTCTAAGGGCTCAATACCACATGTTATTTTAGTTAAAGGTTTTCTAATTGGCAAGTAGCCTGCATGAATCCAAATACAAAGAATAAAACCATACTTCGGAACATTCTCCATGGAGATAGATGTGATTTTCCCTCCTCCAGGCCAAATAAGAGTTGGTGGATATGCAAGCCCATTCACAGCAAAGTTTTTCTTCTTTTTTTTTTTTTTTGGCCAATAAACACAACCAAAATAAATAAATCATAAAACATGTTGTTATTTTAGTTTGTTTTTGTGTGGGTAACACTTGGAGGCTGAGACACAGTATACAGCTAAGGTTTTCCACATGACTCTCTTCCCATGTTCACTATATACACTTATCCCCTTTAAGACCTCCCAGATTGGTGGATTTCTAAAGCAAGAATACAGTATATAGGTCATGTGAAATCTTAGGGGACAGTATACCATGAAGATGTAGAGAACAAAAGGTGTATAACCCTGAGGCATTAAGGTATGTATACTACTATAATATTACATGGTGATTTTCACTGATCGAACTGACCCAAATAATGTAATGGTGTACAGTATTGAATATTTGGGTATAGCGTTCCCTTTTTTCCTATAAATCATTAAGATAAGTATTGATTTTAGTTTTACTGCATTTTGTAACATTTTTTTATTCTCAATATGAAGTGTAAATTAAATTATATTATACATTAAAACTCTGAACACATAGATTGAAAGACTTTTATTTTGAAAGTAATTTAAGGAATACAAAGAAACACAAACAAACAAAAAATTACTGCACTTTTTGAGATAACTTTGCTAAGTTCCAAGGAAGTTTCTAATATAACTTTACTGATTAACTCAAGGTGCTTTATGGATAGATTTGTAATTTCTTAAAGCAACACATTTTGAATACATATTCTTTTCATATCTCAAGGTCACTTCAATAAGTTACACATAATACTTTAAAAAGTACTTTAACTTCACTTTCACAACACTTCCAAGCTTATACAAGCTTTCCAAAATTATTGCCATTTTCTTGCTGTCTCCTGTCCCTAAAAGCGTATAAAGTGCATACATGCAATAACACTTATAGCTTTCTTTGTCCATTGAATGAATTTTCAAGACTACAACATTTACCTAATCATAAAATGGTGCATACCCTATTGCAAGCTTTACACATATATGCTACATTTTAAAATATAGTAGAACATTCATAAGCATCTTGGGGTCAATCCATCACCAAAAACTTGAAAAGGGAGTTGGAATTCTCTAGGAAATGTCCCGAATATAAGAAGCCTCGTCAGTTTCTAAGCTTTTTGTAAAACACAGCACCTACAATAAGACCGATGACACAGATGCACGCCAAAACCCCAACCGCCACGCCGAGACCCACAGATGAGTTTTGATTGTTGTTGGTAGCTGAGGTTTGTGCGCTTTGGACAGGTAAGGAGGGCTTGGTGATGATCTCTGGAGAGGTGAGGGTGTAGACGCTGTCAGGGTCTAACTCATTGATCTCTCTTCTTCTCCTGGATGTGGCGCATTGCTTGAAGGTGTCACAGGTGTTCTTCTCACACAACCGGGTGATGCAATGGAGATAGTAGGTGGACACGTTCTCATTTTGTTGCTCAATGAAACGGAACGCTGGGAAGTAGAATTTAGCAGACTGACTCACACCATTAGAAACTATTGTGGTGGATTTGTCTTTGGAGCAGGGCACAAACAAGTTGAAAAAGCTGGAGTTTGCTGGTAGTGCTGAAATGGAGGCATAACACCGGTCAAGTAGAACATGGTACTGGGTGGTCAAATTTATAGCACTAACTTCAGCATAGATTATTTTCCGCAACTCAATGCCTGTTTGGGGGATCAGGAAGGGAGTGGTATAAGCAGAGTCACTGAATAGCTTCAATTTCAAGGTGCTCAAGAAGGTGCCATTTTTGTCATTGATTGAAACAGAGGACCCTGACACATCAATTTGAGTGTTGTTGACGAGGTACTCTAAGGGATAGGCACAAGAGTAGTAGTATTTCAGCTCTGCGTTGTACGTGATGGTGCCTTTGGTAGGGTCTGCTCCTCGGATGATGCCACTGATGTTGACATTCTGGATGTTGGAGAAATCAGCAAAGACCCCAGTCCCGGGGGAGCTGGTGTACCTGAAGTTACTTCCACAGGCATTGGTGGAGTTGAGGGGGAAGCTGAAGCGGGCCACAGGAGGGAAGACACTGATGTCCAGAGTGGCCCCGCAGGCTGAGCTCAGTATGTTGTTCATGACCAGCTGAGACTCATTGTAACCGGTGTAAACAACTGGACATATCTGAATGGCCAGATTTATGGATGTAGTTCCACACTCCACTGCAATGTCATCCAGCTTTGGTCTCCTGGCTTCAGCTCCACATTCGGCTAAGGTGGGAGTACTGCTCACCAAGGCAGGCCAAAGCAAAAGTAAAAGAAAGAGCTTCATTTTGGCTTTGAGCGATGAAAACTCTGCAAAAGGTCTGTGTCTTGACTGCCAGTCCTCAGTGCGCTCAGATGTGGATTGTGTAAAGGGGTCTTTATAGGTGTGTGGGTCCTCTGGGATTGGGCAAAAACAAGGTCAGGGCATCTTGCTTATTTGTGAGCACCATTATTGTATTAAGGAGAAAAGGTAGAACCCTATCCTAAGGGCAACATCTGTAACCAGAAGCCTCTGCTCCTGTAAGTACAATGGTATTGTTCCTCTGTTGGATCTCTTAAAAATATATATTACATATCCTCTATTACTGCTCCTTTATTCCTCATATTCAAGGCTGTGCTCAGTGTTGGCCTTTATCTAGTCCACCATCCTCAGTGACCTGTTGGCTTAAACATGTCAAAAAGAGTCAGTTTCTTTTATTAGATTTACAGGAATTACTGGACATTTTGACAGGAAAGACAGCATCCATTATGTCTCTTTGCATTTTCAAAGTAAAGTATTGTTATATTTTCTTAAAACAATTAAATAGTTCAATTTAAGATTATTTTAACCATTTGCAGCTAATCAAAAAAGGATCCAGGTAAAACTGTCGTTGTAATATTTTTTCTCTTTCATATGCTCACTTTAGTCTTCTTTATTAAGGTGAGGTAAGTCCAGAGACTAAAGTGGAGATTGGGTTAATTATATGATGGGAAGATCCAGTGGCCTCTGTGTTGTGGGTGTTGATGTGAAACAAAGATCAGTGGTTTCGATGATCACAGTCTCCTGTTTATAGGAAGAGGCCACTGAGGACAGGACATGCAGTCCTGTGGTGTATTATTAAAGATACTTGAGCTGAGTAGTAAATAAGAAGGCATCACATATGAGTCATATATTTCAATTGCCTGGGATCCAGAATACACACTTACTTCCTCAATACTTTACAAAGATGTGAGTCTGGGCACTGATGAATCTCAGGTGAGACACACATGGTCCATCCATATCACTAAAAATATGTCACTGGGACTGAAAAACTTTGTGGATTTCTGCTCAGTCAATGTCAATGAGCAAAGTGCTAATCCCTGTTAATATGAGGTGTGATCAATTTGATTTTATTTGTAAATGACAGATGACCAATGAGTCCTTTGTTTCACATGTGTCAATGAAGAAAACAAATCTGATTGCACGATCACTTTTGACTGGGCTTGAAACGAAACAGAGAGCATGGGGACCAGACTGATGTCAGTCTATATAAAAAATAGAGAGAACTTAGTTAATTTCTGAGTGGCCACAAGATTGAAATGTTAGTTAAAATAGTAAAATAGTTAATTAGTGCTTGAAATTATTTATGTGTAGTAGTATAGGATACAGTGGTTACATTTAACAAAAAGAAGCGAGAAATAGCTCACCATTTTGAACATACTGCAGTGAAGAGATTCCTTTTTTTCATGTCATTATCAAAGGCCAGCCTGATCCAGTGTCTTTTGTTTAGAAACATAAGATGGAAATTACATGAGAATAATGCTGCAGAATATCACCACATATTCCTAAAAGCATTGTTATGACAGTGGAAATGGACTTCATAAATTCTTATTTTTAATCTGACATTAATCACATGACATGAGCCACCAAAACATAAGAAACGTGACCTGTTCCATCATAAAAATGCTATCAGATGGGTGTTGTGAGAAGTGGGTGAAAATCTATGCTCATCTTATGTGATAAAACAAAAATATTAATTGCATTTCACAAATTCACAGAGTATGTTTGATGTTACCAGTAGGGACAACATTGGCAAGAAGTGGGTACTAACAGTGACATTTTGCCTAAGTATTGAATGCATTTACAGTGGTGTCTTGTGGTGGTGGTGAGGGGGGCTTCACCTGTGTGCCCTCCTCCACCCTGAGCAGTTAACTGGCTCATGTGATTAACGGTCAGTGCTGTGAATGGTTTTGGAGGGTCTGGGCTGGTGAGGAGCAGAGGCGGAAACATAACAAAAAAAGAAAAACGAGGTGGGAATTTCGTTTGTGGAAAGAAATACAACACTGTGTCAGAGTTTTACAGCCAGGTCAAGACCAACAGGACCTGCGTCGTTAGAATTTCTTATTTAGTGCACCAACAGCAGCAGAGTGTGGACATATTTTAAATCAAGAGGAAAAGGGATATGATGTACAAACTGCAAAGTCTATTTCTACATATATAGACACATACACACTTTGAATACTGTTTTCAGAATATGACATACAGTATTTTATGTTTTATTTTTAATCCTGTTATAAATAGTTATTAATAAAACATGTTCATTTTGTTAGCTACAAATATATCTTATACATTGCTATTTTGTCAAAGCTACATTGTGTAACTTTTCTGGGGGAGGGTCCGTCAAATACTTTTTGTCATGGGAATGTTATTGCTTTGTCTAGAATATTTCACAGTATGGTATTAAAACTTCTTATCTTCATGGAGACCAAACCAGACCAAGTTACAGGTCAGATCTGTGCTGAGGCAACCTCTCTACTCTTAGTCAGAAAGCCTGTTTTTCTAGAGCTATAAAACCACCTGTAATTAAATAAATGTAAGGTAGAGCTGTTTAATGTCATGCTGGAATGTTATAGTCATAAAAACAAGCAGGTGATTCCCAACCAAAAAGTTACATAATGCACCTTTAAAATAATCAGAACATTCCATTGAGTATAAAATCTCCTTCATAGGGACATGGTCAATTAGCAGTTACTATTCCTCTACTGTATCTATTTACTAATATTCAACATTAAAGATACTATACGCAAAAGTGACTCTTTTGATCATTAAGTCAGATAAGAAGATAAACAGAATAAATATGCAAGTGTCGTGTATTAAGTATGTGTGAAAAAAACAAAACACAACTGCAGTTCTGTTTTTGATCGGGAAACAACATTATAACATAGATCAGAAAATAGTGTAATATGGACCCTTTAATCATTAGTCAATCAATTCAACAACATTTTTGTTAAATTAAGTGTTTGCAGTACTGTTTCTCCATGACAACCTCTCTTACTTTTGGTCATTAAAGGCTTGGCTGTTTCTACCCTTTCCTGACCATTTCCGTCCGCTGGTGGCTGCTGTGCCATTAAGGCAGTTGGCCTGGTTCACACCATATACTATATCATGATTTAAAGCAAGCAGACTTAAACCTCCTTCAGTCTGATTGTTGTGTTAAGGAAATTAAACGTCACATATGAAATGTGTCAATACTGAGAAGTCCAAACAGGGCTACTTTATGTACCACAAGATGCTGGGAAATGCTGGAGGAATAACACTTGTAATAGAGGAGTGTTAAGGTAAAGACGTGGCCAGTGACTTTCGTAAGGTTGAGGGTGTGTCTCTGTGGTTTAGGTCAGCTATTGAGATCACAACCTCCTGAACAGAGAGCAGCCTTAATAAAACAAGGTCAAGGCAGGAGGAACAATAAGAGCTAAATGTGATATCACAGCCCTTACATAGAAACAAGGACTTTGTGTATGGGGAAAGAACTCTCTATGTTCTTGGTGCATTACGTGGTCTCTGCAATTATAAGCTACATTTACTTCCAAGTAAGTTGCACAGAACACATCTTACCAAGAACAGCAGCAATTGTTAAACTCATTTATTCAAATTGAGTTTGTAAAATAAATGGGATTTTAGTTATTAAACATCATAAAACACCAAGTTCAAAGTACAAAAAATACAAACTAGTCACCACTCAAATATAGCTCCTATAGGTGAATGTACTGAATAAGAGCATCCATTTTGAAGGCCTGTTTCCCACACGTGGCTTTCTAAAGTCATGCGCAGTGCAGCTCTGATTTACGAGCCTGTGCCTGAAGCAGCCCTGCTCTTTCATGTCACACTGCGACTTATGCACTTTCATGTGTGGAGAACGGACAACTGCGACCACCAGCTGTTAGGAGCCCGGGCAGATATGTCCAGTTGGTCGTCATATGACAAAAATGTAGACATACGACTGTACATAAATGTATACTTAGACACACATTTCTGAGACAGTGTCAGCAGATGGGTGGTTGAGACAAATATGAATGTTGAAGCAACTACTTGGAACAATGTCAAAGAACAACAGGTCAGATCAGAGCTGCTCTGCTAACACCAAACAGTAGAAGGTTAAGCACAAGAACAAAGGAAGTCCACAGTGCACAGTGTTTCACTAAGTAAAGTAAAGTCTGCTCTTGATCAATTCAGTTTGTATAAACAAAGTTACTGTGCAAAATCTAGGCAGCTAATTTAGGTAGATAATTTAACTTCATCTCAATGATTTAGAATACAGTAATCTATATGTTCTTCAATGTCCCCCGTGTCTTTTCATTTTCACACTTTTGTGTTGTCTCTGATTTCGACCATTAATGAATATTATGTCTGTCACCTGCTCTAAATCCTCTGGTTTTGAATTTCTCCAGATGTGGATGTCCAGCACACAGGCCAGCTGCATGCTGCAGCTCTGCTCAGTCAGACCTGTTACAGTCTGTGTAGTCTGAATATGTTTACTACTCATTTCCTCAACATTCAAAACTACTCAGACTTTTTCACTTGTAAGCCCCCATGTTTGTTTTGGCACGAACAGTCTATACCTTGCTTTTCTCTGATTGGTTAGTTTGGCTTATACAAAGGAATTTTTAGAGGCAACCATATTTTATTTATATATATGCAACATTTTGATGACTTTTTCACTAAGGTAACTGTGCTAATTTTTCATCCTTCTGGACCCATGGATAAATAGTTAAGAATGTTTAAGAATTATACTTTAGATGGGAAAAGCTTAACCTGGGAAGAGTGTAAACCAAAGCACACATCTCAAATGACATAGTTTTACCTTTTTTCATGATTGTTTTGAGCAGCAGCAGCAGCAGCAGCAGCTAGTTGACGACAGTGAGGCGACAGAAACACATGGAACATAAGTCTTCATGATGTGGACTGGTCTGGGCCATAACTGTGATCCATGTCTCCCCTGTGTCAGCCTCTGGGTATTTGAACTTAGGTGTACTGTGTTCTGTACCAAG